AGAAAAGACAGGATGGTAGACAAAGAGTGTGGATTGCGCAAAAGTTTGTGCAGAAGTCATGGAAGAGGAGAAAATGACACTGACAATCAAGGCAGGCAGCATATATACGAGGATTCTGGAGGCAACGGCCCTAGCGGGTAGGTACCTGCCCGTGTTGTACAACATTTAATCCGCATTCTGAGGTGGAAGTGAGCGACTGGCAGTTCAATACTCAGGCAGGAGCGAACAACGGGCACCTGCCTAAACACCCATTTGCCCGAACCATTCAGTTATTCTTCATTCAGGGTAGCTGCATCTTTCCTTTAAGTCTCTCACAGTCTTTTTATTGTCTCGACAATAGTTGGAAACAATTAAAGTGATTTGTTGGCAGACAGTGTCAATGCCGTTTCATATGAAGGGTGCCGTGTGGTAGTACAAGAGATATATGCATGAAAAGGGTTATATTCATTTAAGCGGTAGATGACGGAAGTGTAACGCCCACGGCGCGTCTTCCAGGCGCGTAAAGTGGTTTCTAGCTTATTTGCAGGGCGCCCAGCAACCCATAACGCCCATGGGAATTTCCATATGAATGGCACCGTGCTTCTCATCTTAATTGACCCAATCTCCACGCCCAACCATGCCTTCACCAGCGCACCAGTCTCCCCAATTACAGTCATGGACTCGCAAACGAAGGGCGCCTAGTGGAGTTGCTCGCGAGGATTCGGATGACGAACTAGGCGAAGATGATTTGCCCTGGGAATGGATCTACGAAGCTCACCCTGTTGCCGTCGAGTCGGACAGTCAGGAGAACGACAGCGAGACCGAGACCGGCAATCGTAAGCGGAGAAGAGTTACCGATGGCAGCAGCAAAATCATAGGCGCTCGTATGGGCAAGTTTGAGTGCCGCGTAGGGGATTGTGTCCTGCTCAAGGCAGAGGGATCGAATGAGGCTTGGGTCGGCCTCATCTGTGAATTTATCAACGATGACGGCGAGGGCAATGAAGCTGCAAATTTCATGTGGTTTTCTACGGAGAGAGAGATTCGGAACAAGAATAAGAAGCGCACCGACTTCTGCTCGGTATGTTGCGAGTGTTTTGGTGCGAGTCCAGACTGTGATGATTAACACGATACAATAGAACGAGCTCTACATCACTCCATCCTGGGACGTCAATCCGTTAGCTTCAATCAACGGAAAAGCCAAGATAATGTCTCTCGACGCATTTCACAATAAATATCCTTCCGGCAAGGTCCCACACCAGTCCCCCGACTATGGAAAGGTCTTCGTTTGTCGCCGGGGCTGCAACACCCGAGCAGCATTGTATACCGATGAATTCATATGGGAGGAGTTGGTTCCTGCGGGCGATAGCGTCTTCGCTTTGATCGACTTTGTCAAAAATGGAACCAAGGTTACGCGACAACGGCGCCGAGCGAGGAGCATCTCGCCAGCTGACGATGCCTATTACCCCCCGCAAACCCCAACAAAGACAGGCAGAGGAACAGGGGCGGCAACACCACAATCAAGACGAACGACCGCCACTCCTGGATCCCGTGCTAGGGGAACGGGCAAAAAGTTGGAATTCACCCCTCTCAGCACCCGCAAGATCGATCCAACAGTTGCAGGTTCCTCCCCTTTTCAGATCGCTCGCTCCCGCTTGCATGTCTCATCGATCCCTACAAGTCTGCCTTGCCGAGAGGGCGAGTTCTCGTTGGTCTACTCACATCTTGAGGCTGCAATTACAGATGGAGCGGGTAATTGTATCTACATATCCGGCACGCCAGGTACAGGCAAGACTGCTACAGTACGGGAAGTCATCGGGCGTCTTGAAGAAGCCGTCGGGTCAGATGAATTGGATGACTTCATATTTGTTGAAATCAACGGCATGAAAATCACCGACCCCCATCACTCCTACACTTTACTCTGGGAGGCTCTCAAAGGCCAAAGGGCCAGCCCAGCCCAAGCTCTGGACTTGCTCGAGCGAGAATTCCGAAATCCAAGCCCTAGGCGAACGCCATGTGTCGTTCTTATGGATGAGCTTGATCAGCTAGTCACTAAGAACCAGGCCGTCATGTACAACTTCTTCAACTGGCCGACACTCCGTCATAGCCGACTGATCGTTCTGGCGGTCGCCAACACTATGGATCTTCCAGAACGAACTCTAAGCAACAAGATCAGCAGTCGACTGGGTAAGTGCTTTCGTGCCAAACAGTTTCCAATGCCACCCTTTCCCAAGATTAGCAACTTACATCACTCTAGGCTTAACTCGAATTACATTCCCCGGATATAACCATGAGCAACTTATGAAAATTATACAATCACGTCTTGAGGGAGTTCCAGGAAACATCGTGGATCCAGATGCAGTTCAATTCGCCAGCCGTAAAGTCGCCGCTGTCAGTGGAGATGCTCGAAGAGCGCTAGATATCTGTCGCCGAGCCGTCGAGCTGGCAGAGGGTGACTTCCAGGGCGACCCGAACACCCCTAGCAAGACCGGGCGAAACGATGCAGCTCAATCCAAACGGGGCCGCGTCACCATCGGCACCATCAAGAAGGCTATAAACGAAGCCACAACCAACCCTATCCAGCAGCACCTTAAAAGCCTTCCGCTCGTGTCGAAGCTCTTGATGGCAGCAATACTACTCCGGATCCGACGGACCGGCCTGGCAGAAACGACCTTCGGGGAAACGCTTGATGAGCTTCACCGGGCCAATCTGCGGGCACCGACATCAAATGCCGGACTGGCGCAGATTCTACCTGCTAGCACAAAGGGATCCCACGTTGGCAGTCAGAACTTGGGCCGTCCAGCCCACATACACACTGCAGCCCTTGAACTTGTGGCTGCCGGGCTCATTAATCTGGAGGCACAACGTGCGGAACGATCCAGCCGACTGAGACTTGCGATAGCTGACGATGAGGTGAAGATGGCCTTGCGCGACGATGCCGAGCTAAGGCTGCTTGGAATTGGTGTATAAACATGTATCGAAACCCATATAATAACCTGCTGTAAAACGCCACCCCGTGCTGTGTACAATGCCTCGGACGTAATTAATATCCCATTAGACCAGAAAATATACTAGAATTTACGACTTCTTAAAGTTGGGTTCCATTGAATAGGATGAGTCTCCGGGGAGGCGTTCTCATCCTGCTTCCAGATTTTGACTGCCAAGGTGTTAGCTGAATCGGGTTTATCTGAGAAAGCGCAAGTATATTCGACTTACTGGTCTTATCAGCCTCGCCACAGATCAAACGTAGGCCTGAACGATCGAACGTGGAGCTCATGATGCCTGCTTCGGCATCAAGGGAGCCGGGCTGGGCAGTGGTATCTAGAGATTGGAACCGGTGGCCCGTCTTCCAGTCCCAGAAGCTCATGGAGCCATTGTCACCTTGTGAATGTTAGTTATCAAACGAATAACAGAAATATGACCGCAGAAGGGGAACATACCTCCAGAGAAAAGAACATCGTTCTGGTTGACACTTAGCGAGTTGATGATGGCATTGTGGCCCTCGAAATTCTGCATGAAAGCACCCTCCGGGCACTTCCACTGCTTGATGCTTCCAGTACTGCCACTCGCAAATGTGAATTCAGTTGGGTGGGTAGCCAGGGCACGAACGCCCTTCTTGTGATGTGTGAGGACGCCCATGGTCTTGCCAGCAGCGAGATCCCACATCCGTACAGTGGAATCGAGCGAGCCTGTAATGACCTGAGGGTCCGCTTCTTGACATACCAAGTCGGCGACGGTTTGGGTATGACCTGACAGAACATGGATATTGCTTCTCGTCCTCATATCCCATACTCGTGCGACACCATCACGACCACCTGTAACGAGCACATCGAGTGTTGGGTGAAGAGCGAGGGTGTAGACACCGCTCAAGTGGCCGTGGTAGTGCCTAATAACTTTGTTCGTTTCGAGATCCCAACATTTCACCATCTTATCCTCACCGCAGGAGAATAGGTAGGGGTGTCGAGGCGAGACTGCGAGACCACGGACCGTGCTAATATGACCCGTCAGAGTAAGTCTCAGCGAGCCCGTTGCCAGGTCCCAAATCTTGATTGTGCGGTCGCCGGCACCACTCGCGAACCATTTGTTCCCAGGCTCGACGGCCAGAGCTCGTACCCAGCCAAGATGGCCAGAGATGACGCGCATGAGCTTCCACGGGGGGTGCCATTCGGGCTTGGTCTGTTGAAGTGAGATGCCTCCTCTTGTGGTAATCAGGCTCGTGACCTCTGTCGAGCCTGCACGAGCAGCACCGGTGTCTGCCTTCGTTTCCGACGACGTCGATGGCGAAGCCGTGCTTCCTGGAGCTCCCTCGAGAAGCTTCTGGGCCGGGCGGCGGGCCACAACACCAGTCTGCTTCGCGCTCTTCTTCCCGGATTTGGGACCAGGTTGCTTGGCAGCAATGGACGGGGGTAGTGTCTTGACGGCCGCGTACTCGGATTGGAAACGGCGGTTCATAATGGGGTCCGCGAATTCGGTCTCGAGCTTTTGTCGCTTGTTGGCGGTGGTCGAGTCTGGCGCGGGTTGCGCGCTTGCATAGAGCTGTCTTGAGGTGGTGGCATTGTGCGCGACGAGAGCGCTCAGCTCTGGAGTTGGCTGAGGAGCCTGCACCGCCTCCATGATGATTCTCCGGACGTGCGATGATACCAGCCCGTGTCAATCGGTCGTTGTGTTGGCTCGAGGATGGAGTTTAAAATTCCTGGCTGCTAGGAATTATCAAAAGCATATGCGATACGGATAAGATCTTCTGGCGTCTGCACTACAAAACAGGCAAGTGGGTTCTTAGTCAGCACCCAGCTGGCGAAGCCACCTGAGGCTACAGGCTGCAAACTGCTACGCAAGACTGCTGAAGGCCAGCGTCATTACAGCGCCAATTGATCCAGGTCATGGGGTTTCCTTCACGATCAATTATGCTTTCATAGCAACATAAGAAGAACATATTTGCGAGACTACTGATCAGAAGCTCAAGGAGTCTTTACAGCCGGCTTAAATCTGTATCTGAAACCACAGATTATCCTGTTATAATCAGTATGACGACAGAAGCGAATGATCGTTTCCCTCTGCACACTGCGGCCAGGCAGGGCCAAGGTCAGTCTATGATCCTCATATTGTCCTCTCATTACCTTGTAACTAATTTTACAAAGTGAGAGTGGCGGAAAATCTTCTTAAGGTATGTGGATGTATTCTCCGGCAAGATTATTTATCTAACACCTGCCTTATAGACGGATCCGAAACTATCCAAGAAGGTGGACGATGATGGACGATATGCCATCCATTGGGCGGCTTCCGCTAACAATCTAGAAATCGTCTCTCTTTTGGCGGAACAACCCAAATTTGATGCTGATATCGAGGTATTTATCCACTTTCTCAGTTTACTTCATAATGTGATAGATCACTCATCAAATCAATCCAGGACGGGAGTGGTTGGACCCCTCTCATGATCTCAGCCAGCGTCCCCGACAACGAGCCCGTCCTCACACTTCTTATCAGCAAAGGGGCGGATGTCAATGCAAAGAGTAAGCGGTCTTGATTTCATCTTCCCAAGTTGTTTTTTTCTCGTCGAATCTAACAGGATCGTCTACTAGATAACAGTGGCCAAGTAAGTGAATCCATCAACTACTGGATATTTGACAGTGTCTGACCGAGGCACTCTGAGAGCAGTCTGCCCTCCATTTTGTAGCTTCCAAGAAGAACTTGGATATTGCTCGCCTTCTTATCGACAACAAGGCTTCAACGCGTATTCGCGACCGCCGTGGACAATATCCTATCCACCGTGCTGCTGCTGTTGGCTCCGCGCCGATGGTCGCCCTCCTTCTTCAGAACAAGAGCCCTCTGAATGCAACCGACAATGAAGGCTACACGCCACTTCATCATGCTATTGCCGAAGGCCACGGTAAGATATGCTCCCACCCGAGGATCAGGTGTCCAGGACGGATCTCATGAGCGTTGAGATTAACCTTGTTGTAGGAGACACTGCTGTAGCATTGCTCAAAGCCGGGGCCGACTTTTCACTCAAAACCATCGAGGATAAGCTAGCTATCGATTTAGCCCCAGACAAGGAGGCAAGTATTCCATTCTCGCTGGTATCGTTGCTTTCTCGTACATTGCCAGCAGTGGCTAACTGAATCTACCTACCTTCCAGGTACGCCGCTATATAATACAAGGTGCTGAGAGAGAAGGTATCGAGCTGGGAGACAGCTAGAGTCTATATAGATCAATTCTGAAGTAAATAAAATCAGATATCGCTCCGTCTTTGCTCTCGTGCATTTTCATCTTCACGTTGTTTTTCCCCGTCTAAGGACTAATCAACTCATTTGACCGTCCGCTCTACCAGCTCGCGATACATTGCCTTCACATCCTGCACATCTGCCTTGAGCTCCTCCACAAGCTCGCTCTTCTCGCCCAGCAGTTCCAAGGTTGTCTGGTACCTGGCGTTGAGCTCGTCCATTTCCTTCTCCATCTCGGCCACCTTGGTCTTTGCTTGCTTCGCCGATTCTATGTCCTTCATCAAACCAACAATGTCTGCCCGTGCTCCATCTCTTTGACTACAGATTCTTGCCATCTCTTCCTTTGCTGCTACTTTCTCCGCCTCGAGTCGTCTGATCGCCGCGCTCATTCTCTCCACAAGCTGCACAGATGGTCCGGCGCCGACAGTTGATACTGATATCATATCATGGGCTATCTGCCGCGGTGACGAAGATACTTTATCGTCGACGGCCTCTTCGCGCTCTACTACCGAAGGCGCATGGCCATTTGATGGTTCGTCAAAAGCCACAAAGGATGATGCCGAGTTTCCGACGCCGGCTGAGGATAAGGTATTGGTACGTGGTGGCGGTGGAGGTTGGCTGGACATTCGTCTTCCGAGGCCCCCCAAGCCTAGACCCAGGCCCAAGCCCTCTTGTGGTATCTCGGGAGTACGGCGTGCACGTTGAAGTGCACCCAAATCTGAGCTGAATGTTCTGGAGAGTGAGTTGAGTGGCGAATCCGGCCGACTTTGAGTTCGTGCAAAGGGTGGCATGATGGGTTCTTCAGTCCAAGGCCGCGCTCCCGCGTCCCCTGGGAATTCCCTGACCGCTGCGCGCTGCTGCTTTTCCAGGTCGGCGCGGGTTTGGTCGAGAGCTGCTTCGGATGCCTTCAGCGAGGCTTGCAGCGAAGCCATCTCTTCTCTGCAAGTCTCCAGTTCTTGCTTGGCCGTCGCAAGTGCCGGCTGGACATCTTGCAGCTCGTCTTCCATGTTTCGGGCACGACTCGCCTAAGAAGATGTCAGTAAAATCAATAGCCTAACAACATGCAGTCCAAAGCCTGCACGCTCCTGAACGGGATTACTCACTGCGTCGCGGGCCTTTTTCCTCATCTCAGATTCACGACGCTGGGCATCATCCCTCTCCTTTTCCAAGTTGGCCACCTTGGCAAGAAGCGAGGCCTCGATGCCTTGCCAGTTCCCACTGGCAGTCGCATATTGGGATTGCAATGTTTCGATCTGTCTTATCAGCTTGATCTGACCCTCCCCTCCGGAGCCCGAGGACGCCTCTTCAGCTACTGATCGCATAGCCTCCAGCTTGTTCTCCAAGGCCAGGATCTCGAGTTTCAGCTCTTCCTCGACGACCCTGGTTCTCTCCTGGGCACGAGCAACTTTCTCTTTCCACTCTTCCTGTTCTAACCGGCCCTGGGTAGCCAGCTCCTCCTTTTCGGCTTTTAACGAAGCAATTATCCCTTCCAACTCCTTTTGCTTCTCCTTCTCGACCGCCAGTACTTTCGCATGCGCTTCCGCGCAAATGGCCTCCACCCGTTCCTCTGTCGTTGCGAGCTCCTTCTCCAGGCGAGATATCGTCTCCTCCTGGCTCGTTTTGTGAATCTTTAATGAGTCGATCTCTTTTTGTAACGTCGCGGTCGCTTTTTTATTCGCCTCTTGTAGCTTTTCTGACTCCTCGCTGTTATTCAAACGGCTTTGCCATGATTCGGCCTCTGAGCGTGCCTTGTCCCGGCTCTTTTCCAACTCGGCCTTCTGCTTCTCGCTGTCTGCCATCTGCTGGCGCAGTTTCCTGATCGTTGTTCGTAGCTTCTGTTCCATGCCGGAAAGCTTCTGCCCTTCCTCCATAAGCAGGGCAATCTTCTCGTCCTTCTCTGCCAACTTGCGATCTGCACTCCCGCTTGCCGCAGAAGAGGCACTCTTCTTCGCCGACTCGGCAGCGCTCTTTGATAGGTATTGAAGCTTCGACTGTAGAGAATCTACTCTCTCGCTGTATTCTTGAATTTCTTCCTGGTAGCGCGCCTTGGCCTCCTCTAATTCTTTCGTGAGAGCATCTAACTCCTTCGAAGAATCTGCTTGAGCGACTGGGACCGGTTCTAGGGTCTCTTTCGGGCTAATTTGCGCCACTGGTTGATCTTTCTTCGTTTCCTCCTCTTGAACACCAGGGGATAGTTTCGCGCCATCAGTCTCGGGCTCGGGGTTCAGTACCGGTTGCGCAACTGGTTTGTCTTGCGCAGGGGCGGTCGTGCTGGGGACTGCAGGCGCTGTCGAGCTTTCTGGGGGAATCGCAGGCTCCGGTTCGCTGGGCGCGGCGGATGGTTTCTGTTCCTCCTCGGAAGGCTTCTTCTCAGGCCTGTCCATTGAGACTCTGTCCATGGAGCTGCGGGCAGTGTCAATGGAGCTCCGAGGGGAGGCAGACGCCTTGCTGTCTCCGCCACCGACCTGCTTGGCGGCCACGGCTTTGGCTAGTCGAGCCTGAAGTCGGTCATTTGCAGACGGTCGAGTCCGAGACGATGATCGAGAAGCGCCGGCTATAAGAGGGCAACCTGGATTAGCCCATTGTCATTTCGAGCGTCGGCCCTGATGCGCTCCTACTAATCCCTCCAGGGAACACTTACCAGGACTCGCAGTCTTCGATGCGGGAATGCTCATCGGGGCTTGGGCCTGTGGTTGCTTCCCGGCTTGCTGCTGCTGCTGCTGCAGCTTCTTGGAGTCCTCCTCGGACAGCATATTGTCAAGCCGGGACTCGACGCCGGCCACGGCCTGGGAGAGGAACGACCCCCATCTCGACGAAGGCCCGGTGTTGGGCGCCGGCTTCCCAGGCGTCGCCATGCTGTGCTGTGAGGGGGCGACGAGATGCGTCGAGCAGCGAGCTGCGTTGTCGAGGGCAGGACATATAATCAATCGAGATGGGCTGTCAACCTCTAATGTAGGGGGGCCAAGACATCGGAGCTCACTAAGGCACGCCTATCGGACAGCACTATTGCTGCTAGGGGGCTGCCTAGCCGGAGGCGCTACAGTTATAGCAGATGGAACGGCTGACGGATCCAGAATCCACGTACGCACCGAACACGTTATCACAGCCGCCAATGGCACCAGTATCAAACACGGGGGATGACGTGTGGCCAATGACAGAAAGGACCTGTGTTCATATTGATTGCTCGTTATTGCCAGTGAAATCGCTTAAGGCTGTGCCTCGGAGCCGTCTGCCTCAAGTTCTATAATTACCCCCCAGCTGACAACCCGGGCTATTCCCTTACTAAGGCGTCGTCCTCAGAAATGAACGCTACGAAGATCCCAATACGACCACATCCTTCGTATTGATGCATGCACGCATCCATCCTACTTGCTTCATCAGCCTCACCTTCGCATCATGAGCCGTGCCAAGAATCCAAAGTCTTCACTCTGCATCTGCTGAGGTTTCATGTTATTGAACTTGTCTTGTTTCCAGATAATGGCTAGCTACATAGATTGAAATAGGCTATAATATATAAAATGCTACAAAAACAACAGACCTTGCTATGCTAAATAAACCTCGACTTACACAACGCCCGCTAACTTCTTCCACCAGCTACTTCTCGGTGCAGCTGCAGTGTCCATATAGACTGAGCCTCGGCGGCTCTGATAACGCTCGTCACTCCCTTCAGATCCTCCATGATAAGTTCGACGACGTCTTCGGTCGTCCTCGTCTGCCGTCACATCCTCAGCCCTGCCATTTCGTCTCGCTCGGCGGGCTTCTCGTCGAGCTTGCTCCTCGTCAAATTGGTCTGGCGGCGGTGCGTCCGTGACGTCCTTGACCCATGACGACATTCCCGAATGAGGCCATGCTTCGCCTACTGGTTCTCGTTCTCGCTCACGTTCCCTCCGGCGATGATGCTTGCGAGAAGAGGAGCCTTCGTCTCCCGACTGCTCAGCTTGGCGACTGCTTCGGTACTGAGCCTCTTCAGCCTCCCTAGCTTCTTTGGCTGCTCGCCGCTCTTCGCGTCGTCGACGGCGATCTTCTTCGTCCTCTGTGCCTTCAGTTTGCTGTGTACGACGACGTTCACGTCTAGACTCCCGCCGGGCAACAGCAGCCGCTTCCTCCTCCTCTGCGGCCGCTGCTGCAGCTGCGGCTTCTGCTTCTCGTTCCTTGCGGATTCGGCGCCGTTCTTGCCGGCGGGCCTCTCGTTCTTCCTCCTTCTGCTGTTCTTCGCGAGCTGCTCGGCGTTCTGCCCGTCGGGCCTCTCTATCAGCATCTTCGTCTCTCCGCCGGTGTCGCTCACGGCGCGACTCTTCCTTGGCTCGCCGCCCTTCTGCAGCTTCTGCCTCCGCAGCATCGCGCTCTGCTCGTCGAGCTCTGCGTGCAGCCCGTCGAGCCTCTCTATCAGCGTCGCCATCTGCTGCGCCTCGTCCCTCATCATCGGTTGCGGAATACATGCTGCGTTTCCTGCCCTCACCTCGCTCAACCTTGGGGCTCCTAAGGCCACTGAAGAGTCCTGAGAGACCTCCCTTCTTTGAGGATGAGCCACGTCTTGAGGGTATGTCTCCTACATCCGCCATAGCAACATCTTCCTCCGGTGGGGTTCTCCTTGATCGTCGTCGCTCAACCCTTTCTTGGACTGCATCTACCTCTCCACCGGCATCGGCTTCAGGAGCACGGGACTTGCGGGATCTTCGCTTCTCCCGAGGCTTGTCCCCATCGACGCCTAGAACACGAGCAGCTTTCGATGACATCTCGGGCATCTCCTCAGCGGGAGGAGACATCAATCCAGATTCGTCCACGGACCGTCGAGACGACCGACGACTTGCACTTGGACGCTTCTCACGACTAGGTGCTGCCCTAGTGATTGGAGGTGTACTGAACGTTCCCTTTGATCGAGAAGAGGCCTTCTCTGAACGCTCTGCTTTGTCTGACGTTGACCCCTTGGAAGAAGTCTTCTCCTTCTCCTTCTCTTCCTTCTCCGCTGATCTTTTCCCGTGCTTAGACTTTGACGATTTCTTCTCTTTTTCGCGTGAGTTCCATGTGCTCCATGATGAGCCGGCATCACGGCTGATCTTTGGCCGAGTCTTCTTGGGGGATCTAGGCTCCGACGGCGGGGGTGGGGGAGGATCGGGGACGGCTGGTGGTACTTCGGGTTCGGATCCTGATGCTTCAGCTTCAGCCTCGGGTTCCGCCTCTGGCTCCGGTGCTTCCTCCTCGGGCTCGGGCTCTGGCTCTTCTGGCTCCGGTGCAGGTTCTGGCTCAGGTGCTGGCGCTGGCTCGACAGTTTTGTGCTTGCTCTTCTTCTTCTTTTTCTTGTCTTTCTTCGATGGAGCCATGTCGATGATCTCGACGATCTCGTCTTTCTCGGGTTCCTCTGGTGCCGGGGGCTCCTCTTCTGCGGGCGGTTCTTCCTTGTCCTCCTCCTCCTCCTCCTTTTCTTCCGCTACCTCTTCTTCCTCTTCTTTCGCGTCTTCGAATGTGTCGTCCTCGTCATCCGGGAATGCGCCAGGCAAATCCTCGTCGTCCTCGGGGTTATCTTCTTTGATGGTTAACTTCTTATTCTTCTTTTTCGTGGGATTTTTCTTTTGCACTGAGGGGGGGTCCGCCGGAGGTGGCTCAGTTGGTTCGTCTTCCACGTTTGGCGGAGCAGACTCAAAAGCTTTGAGTTTATCAGCAATCTTACCTCCCATAGATCTTGGCGTCTCTTCCGCTGGCGGCTCCGGCTCGACGGGTTCTTCCACAACTGTCGCTGAGTCAGTGATTTCAATCCAGCTGACGTGCTCAATGCATATGTTTGGGTAACACCACATATGCCGGGTGTACACCAGGGTAAGATGACGTACCTTTCTTTCTCCTCCCCAGGCCCCAGAAGCTGAAGGCATCACTGGTCGGTTTTGGCTTCGGGGGTGGATCAGCCAGAAGCTCTTCAACTTCGTCCGGGTCGAGCTCCGGCTCCGGCTCGGGTTCAGGTTCCTCAGGTTCCTCAGGTTCTTCTGGCTCGGGTTCTGGCTCATCCGGGGCATCTTCAGCAGCAGCTTCTCTTGCTTCAATCTTGCTCTGCAGCGCCTCGTATCTCTCCTTATCCTTCTTACCCAACTTCCCTCTCCTCTCTTTCTTAGCTTCGAGGGCCGCGAATTCTGCATCATCCGCTGCGTCTTCCTCGGCCTTCGCTGCAGCTTCCTCGGCTGCTTTAGCTGCTGCTTCTTCGGCCTCTGCGGCGGCAGCCTCCTCGGCTTCCTTGGCTGCTGCTTCTGCTGCTTCTGCTGCTTCTTGAGCTGCTGCTTCCGCAGCCGCAGCCCGTTGATCGGAACGCTCTTTCAGGTACTCATACCTCTCGCGGCTCTTAGTGGGAAGCCTTCCGAACCTCTTTTCTCTCCTGGCCTCCAGCTCGGCGAGCTCTGTCTCTTCAGCCTCAATTTCTTCGGCTTCCTTCGCAGCAGCCTCCTCAGCTTCTCTAGCAGCAGCCTCTTCTGCTGCAGCGGCTTCCTCTGCGGCGGCGGCGGCTTCAGCTTCGGCGGCAGCTGCTTCAGCTTCAGCGGCGGCCTCTGCTGCAGCAGCGGCATCTGCAGCCCGTTTCTCCGAACGCTCTTTTAGATGCTCATACCTCTCCTTGTATTTGCTAGGTATCTTTCCCTTTTTAGCTTTTTTAGCCTCAAGGTCTGCGAGCTCTGCCTCTTCAGCTTCGATCTCTTCGGCTTCCTTTGCAGCGACCTCCTCGGCCTCCCGAGCAGCTGCATCTTCTGCATCTTCTGCATCCTCTTCGTCGACTTCATCATCCTCCGGGGCCTCTTCAGGTTCCGGATCTGGCTCGGCTGCCTCTGCTGCTGCTGCTGCTGCTGCTGCATCCGCAGCCCGTTTCTCTGAACGATCCTTGAGATATTGATATCGCTCAGTACTCTTTGAAGACAGTTTTCCCTTTCTGGCTTTCCTAGCCTCAAGGTCGGCGAGCTCTGTCTCTTCAGCCGCAATCTCCTCAGCTTCACGAGCAGCCGCCTCAGCCGCAGCAGCATCGTCAGCCTCGGGCTCTTCTTCAGCCTCGGGCTCTTCCTCGTCCTCCTCGGGAGCATCTTCATCTTCGGGGGCTGGTTCTTCCTCAGCAGCTGCGGCTGCAGCGGCTGCATCCGCAGCTCGCTTCTCAGAGCGTTCCTTTAAATACTGATATCTTTCAGTGCTCTTCGAAGAAAGCTTGCCCTTTCTCGCCTTCCTTGCCTCTAAGTCGGCTAACTCCGTCTCCTCAGCTTCGATTTCCTCAGCTGCAGCTGCGTCGTCGGCCTCAGGAGTCTCCTCGGGTTCAGGTTCGGGCTCTGGCTCTGCCTCAGCTTCTTCAGCTGCCTCAGCTGCCTCAGCGGCAGCAGCCGCTGCTGCTGCCCGCTGTTCTGAACGTTCTTTCAGATATTCGTATCTTTCGGTGCTCTTAGATGAGAGTTTTCCTTTTCTAGCCTTCCTCGCCCCTAGATCAGCTAGCTCCTGCTCCTCCGCTTCGATTTCTTCAGCTGTAGGTCCGTCATCAACCTCAGGCTCAGGCTCGGGCTCGGGCTCGGGTTCGTCTTGTTCTTCCTCTTCTTCTACAGCCGCCTCAGCAGCGGCAGCGGCGGCAGCAGCATCCGCAGCCCGTTTCTCTGATCGTTCCTTCAAAAGCTCGTATCTTTCGGTGCTCTTGGAGGAAAGTTTTCCCTTTCTAGCTTTCCGAGCCTCGAGATCAGCCAGTTCCTGCTCCTCGAGAAGAATTTCTTCAGCTTCCTGAGCAGCTGCTTCAGCGGCAGCTGCATCATCAGCCTCGGCCTCGGCCTCAGCGTCTTCAAAAACCTCCTCGGGGGCTTCTTCAGCTTCAGGCTCAGGCTCAGGCTCAGGCTCAGCTTCTTCTTCTTCTACAGCTGCCTCGGCGGCGGCAGCAGCAGCGGCAGCATCTGCAGCCCGTTTCTCCGAACGCTCTTTAAGAAAGTCGTATCTTTCAACAAACTTAGAGGGGAGTCTTCCCCTCCTAGCTTTCCTAGCCTCTAACTCAGCAAGTTCCGCCTCTTCTACTTGAATCTCTTCAGCCTCTCTTGCTGCAGCCTCTTCGGCTTCCTTTGCTGCAGCTGCAGCTTCTGCTTCGGCTGCGGCGGCGGCTTCGGCGGCGGCGGCAGCTTCTGCTTCAGCTGCTGCTGCTTCAGCCGCAGCTTTCTCCTCAGCTCTTTTATCAGCTCGCTCCTTGAGATAGTCGTAGCGTTCACGCTCTTTTTTGCTCGCCAGCTTCCCTCGCTTAGCCTTCCTAGCTTCGAGCTCAGCAAGCTCAGCATCTTCAATCTCAATCTCCTCAGCTTCACGAGCTGCCGCCGCTTCGGCTTCAGCTGCTGCTTGGGCTTCGGCCGCTGCCGCTGCTTCAGCTGCAGCTGCAGCAGCGGCTTCTTCGGCTTCCTTGGCAGCGGCTTCCGCTGCCTCTGGATCTTCCTCTTCGGGAGCAGGTTCGGGTTCAGGCTCAGGCTCAGGCTCAGCTTCTGCAGCTTTTGCCGCCGCCCGCGCATCGATGCGCTCCTTGAGTTCATCGTAGCGGTCGCGATCTTTCTTGGCCGGAAGCCTCCCTCTCTTGGCCTTCTTAACTTCCAATGCTGCAAGTTCGGCTTCCTCCAGAGCAAACTCCTCTGCTTCCCGAGCGGCCGCCTCTTCTGCCTCCCGAGCTGCGGCCTCCTCAGCTTCCCTAGCAGCAGCTTCCTCAGCCTCTTTAGCAGCAAGCTCCTCGGCTTCTCTCGCCGCCGCCTCTTCTGCCAGTCGAGCTGCCTCGGCCTCAGCCCTTGCGTTTGCCTTGTCCTTCAATTGGTCGTATCTCTCCTTGTCTTTCTTCGTGAACTTGTTCTTCTTTGGGTTGGCCTTCTTAACTTCCAAGGCTGCAAGTTCCGCCTCTTCTTCCGCAATAAGAGCTGCTTCTGCTTCAGCGAGGGCTGCAGCTTCATCAACCTCTGGTACTGGCTCCTCCGCTGGCTCCGGCTCCGGCTCCGGCTCTGGTTCTGGTTCTAGCTCCGCTTCTGCTGCTGCTGCGGCCGCCGCTGCTGCCTCTGCCTCTGCCGCCTCCTTGGCTGCTTTCTCTTCGGCTCTCTCCTGGGATTTCTTCTTCAGGATTTCGTATCGATCCTTGTCCTTCTTCAAAAGCTTACCCCTAAGAGCCCTCTTGGTTAGAAGTGCCAATTCCTCCTCTTCAAGCGCAATTTCCTTAGCTTCCCTCTCAGCAGCCTCATGATCAATCTCAGGCTCAGGTTCGGGTTCAGGCTCGGGCGCGACCTCGGGCTCAGGCTCGGGCTCAGGCTCCGCAGCGGCTGCAGCAGCTGCTGCTTCTTCTGCTTCCTTTGCTGCTTTTTCCTGTGCCCTCTTCTCTGCTTTTGCCTTGAGCTCGTCGTATCGATCTCTGTCTAGCTTGGAAGTAAGTCTGCCCCTCTTAGCCTTTTTAGTCTCAAGGTCTGCAAGCTCTTGCTCTTCGATAGCGGCCTCTTCAGCAGCACGAGCAGCGGCCTCCTCAGCCTCCTGTGCTGCTGCTGCCTCTGCTGCGGCGGCTGCTTCGGCGGCGGCAGCAGCTTCGGCTTCGGCAGCTGCAGCGGCTTCCTCTGCCTCCTTTGCAGCCTTTTCCTGGGCTCTCTTTTCTGCTTTAGCCTTGAGCACCTCGTATCGATCTCTATCCGGTTTAGAGGTAAGTCGGCCCCTCTTCGCCTTTTTGGTCTCGAGGTCTGCAAGCTCCTGTTCTTCTGCAGCGAGCTCCACAGCGGCGCGGGCCGCGGCCTCTTCGGCTTCTTGTGCTGCTGCAGCCTCTGCTGCGGCGGCTGCTTCGGCGGCGGCGGCAGCTTCAGCTTCGGCAGCTGCAGCGGCTTCCTCTGCCTCCTTTGCTGCTCTTTCCTGAGCTCTCTGGTCCGCTTTAGCCTTGAGCTCGTCATATCGGTCTCGATCTAACTTTGAGGTGAGCCTGCCCCTCCTAGCCTTCTTTGTCTCTAAATCTGCGAGCTCTTTTTCTTCAGCTGCGATTTGTTCGACCGCGAGACGAGCAGCTTCTTCAGCCTCTTGTGCTGCGGCAGCTTCTGCAGCGGCTGCTGCTGCTGCTTCGGCCTCTGCGGCTGCGGCTGCCTCTGCCTCAGCAGCAGCTTGTGCCTCGGCTGCCGCTTGAGCTTCGGCGGCAGCTTTTACTTCAGCTCGCTGGTCAGCCTTGCCTTTGAGGATGTTGTAACGGTCCTGGTCCTTCTTCAAGACAAGTTTGCCCTTCTTCATCGCCTTCTTGGCCTCAAGCGCCGCGAGTTCTTTCTCTTCCGCAGCGATTTCCTGTTCTTCGGCCTCGGCTCGAGCTTTCTCTTCCGCGAGCCTTGCCGCTTCCTCCTCAGCAGCAAGTTGGGCAGGGTCCGGACCTTCGGGTTCTGGAGGTGGTGGCGGTGGTGCCTCGACGAGCAGCGATTCGGCTTCAAGGGCGGCTCGTTTTGAGGCCCTCTCCTCAGCTTTGGCTTTGAGGACATCCCACCGGTCTCTGTCCTTCTTGAGAGTAAGTTTCCCTCCTCTTCTAACCCTTTTGGCCTCCAGGTCGGCGAATTCTGCGTCTTCGGCTGCGGCTTCAATCGCCTCCGCCTCCGCCTTAGCTTTCTCCTCCTCTGCTATTCGAGCTTGCTCTGCCGCTGCCGCCTCCGCCTCACGGGCAGCTTGTTCCTCCGCTTCCTTGATCGCATTGTTCATCGCTCGTTGTTCCTGATTGGCCTTCAAGAGGTCATAGCGGTCTCGGTCCTTCTTCAGAGCGTGCTTGCCGGTCTTCTTCAGCTTCTTAAGCTCCAAGGCGGCAAGCTCCTCCTCTTCAGCCGCAATCTCTTTTTCCTTTGCAATACGTGCAGCTTCATCCTCTGTAAGTGATCGTAGTTAGTGAAACTGGGCACAATGATGCACGTGATGCTCCTGCTCCCCTCTTCAATGCGACAGACTGAAAATCACAAAAATCTCTCAATCGCCATCTCCCATCTATTCCTTAGTGAAAAATCATTTGCCTTACCTTGATTTTTCTTGGCAACTCCAAAGGAGCTGAAGAAATCATCGCCGCCGCTGATGCCGCCGCCGATGCCATCATCAAGCTGGATCAGGTCATCGAGTGCGTTCTTTTTGGGCGGCGCTTCCGGAACAGGATCGTCAAAGAGAGCGGGTTTCTTCTCCCGCTTCTTAGCACCCCAAAATCCCCAGCTGTCGTCGGCAGCGGGCTCTTGTTTGACTGGAGCGGGTTCAGGCTCGTCGGCGAAAAGTGCATTCGTCTTCTTGGTGATTTTCTTGGCGAAACTCCAGAACTCGCCCTCGTCCTCGACTGGTTTCGGCTCTGGCTTCTTCTTGCTGCCAAATCCCCAGCCGAAGTCGTCATCCAGGCCCATGGATGCTGGCGGGTCGGGAGCCTCGGGGATTTTCTTCTTGGTGTCCTTCTTCCCGGTGACGGCCCCCCAGAAGCTGTCGATTGCGGAAGAGCCAGAGGCAGTCTCTGGCGCCGGGTCGGGCGGGCCGAAATCACCAAGTAAATTCTTCTTTTTGGCTTTGGGGTCGCCACCGCCCCAAGTGTCCCAGATGTCGTCCTCCTTCTTGCCAGGCGTTGGGTCGTCTAGCGTGCCGTCGAGCAGGGCGGCGGAGCCCTTCTTGTCTGAAGCGCCAAAGGCCCAAGCGTCCTTGTTATCCTCTTCTTGGCCCCACAGGTTACTCTGCTTCTTTTTGTCTTTGGTGGAAACAAATCCCCAATCATCGTCAGGTTTGCCGGCAGAGTCGTCCGGTTCGTCTGCACCGAAGCTGAATGTGGACTTATTTGTTTTCTTGGGCTTGGGGCGGTCAATGCTCCAGGGGTTACCCTCGGCGTTCCCACCTCCTCCTGCCCCTCCTCCACCAGGGTCTGCACCTGGGGCGCCACTCCAATCCCAACCACCGCCTCCTCCTCCTGTGCCCCATGACCCAGCACCATTTTTTGAGCCTGGGGCGCCGAAATTCACATCGAGTTTCCCTCCTATATCTTCCCCCAACTTGATCTCTTGAAATGCATCAGTGCCGAAATCGGAGGTGGGGATCGTAGGAAGTCCGCCATCAGCCTCTCCTTTCTTTTTCTTGGGCTTTGTTGATGTGAACGTAGCCCATTCATCATCGCCGCCCCCTCCACCACCACTGTTGCCATTGTTTCCATTGCCGCCGCCGCCAGCACCTCCGCCAGCACCACTGTTTCCAGTGCCGCCGTTCTTGTCCCCGTTGTTGTTGCCATCGCCAGGGGGCACGTCGTCCCCCTTCTTCTCAGGAGCGAGGTTCAGGGGCACTGATGTAGCCTTCTTTCCCTTCTTTTTGGCATATTCGTAAATGCCTCGTCTGGAGTCGAAGTCGACCATAACGTCGAGGATGGGGTCATCCAGGAACTGCTTTCTAGACTGAGATCGGGAGGTTCTGGCGGAAACGGATGCAAAGGGTGCTGAGCTGCAGGGCTCCGCCGCGTGAGCTAATCGATCGGTTTCAGTCGGATCAGCGACTCGGTCTGTTTCCTCATGCTCAGAGGAACATTGAGGCGGCCATGTGATTTTCCATGTCGGCTTGTTCAATGGTCGTTTCGATGCGTGTCGAGAGAATAGTAAGGAACGACGGCTCTATAGGAGGTATGTAAGTCAGCTAGGTAATCAAAGTTCAGCGGTGCCGCTTGTGGCGTGCGACTTCCAGCTCCCCCACTCTCCGATTTCCCGAATTCTTGGGTTGATTGCGCAAGGCAACGGCTAAGAATGGGACAAAACGTTGAAGCTATGCTGCTGCACACACACGCACACACACATGCACACTAGCTGCGGGCTCGAGCAATCCAAAAAGTAAACAAGCAACGTACCAAGGATTCGCATCGTATCGTGAGCCAGGCTTTAGCTATAATGTCCAACCGCAGCGCCACCGGCAGCTCATCCGGCCCAATCGTCTCGGTATGAGGTCTCGGGTAGCCATATTCGTTCTCGAAGCAGCTCCCGGCGAATGTCAAGACGTCGGCCGCAGCCATTGCGCTGGATCGAGCTCGTGTCGTGACAAACTGGCGTAGCAATCATGGAAGCTAGCTGAGGGCAGGTGTGAATAATGCAATTGGCTCGGTCGCGATGGCAAAGGAGGGTGTAATGCCGGCAAAGTAAAATCAAATCCGCTCGCAAAGAAATGCTGTCGTTCGGGTATCGTCGAGAGAAGCCGGGCGCTATGCATCAAATAAGCAACACACTCAAAACCACATACATACCCTTTCCCATGAAATTTTCTTCTCCTCCAAACAAGGTGATATGATCAATGATGCCGCAAGCTTGTGACGGCGGACAGGATAAGATAAAGAAAGTACTAACCAGCCCCCAAGAATTTTTATGGGCCCCTGTTATTGGTCGCCCGGGAAATCCAAACCCTTATCCCTGTCAGCGGCGTTGGAGTTCTTTTTTGTTATTTTTCTTCCTAGTTTGTTTGCCAGGCTAGCGTAGCTGCCTTCTGCAACCAGCCGTCGAGTCTGGGGGGGTGCCCAAAAGAAGAGGCAGATGCAGATGGGAAGCGAGGGTGAGAAGCGAGCGGGTAGGAGACGAAACAACCACGGGGTATATCCAGATCCCTCTCTGTCTCGCAATCCTTCCGCCACGCGCACACACAGCTTGAGAAGGGGGGATATGATAAAACAATATAGGGAGGAAGAAAATGCCAAAAAAAAAAATTAGAATACAAGACAACCGCGCAACCAATAAACACCAGCCGTCCTTGGTCGGGAGGTCAGCCAATCTTGCCTGCATCAAAAAGAGTATGTCACACCAACGAGGAGACACAACGGAGATCAAGCGGTCCTATAGGTCGAGGATGCGACAATGGGGGGGGGAAGACGCAGGAGAGAGCTCCCTTACCTGGAATCTACGACACAGGCAGCCAGCTGACTGGGTGCCGTCGAAGGTGGGTGTAGATCAATGTGCCCCAGCCGGCAGGTCCAAGCAACGGGCACGGTACAAATTCACATGGATTATACAACACATGCAGATACTAGATCGGTACGCAGAATGTAGAGGGAGGCTATTGCTACTTGTAGGTATCGCTGCGTGTTGATACCTGACGTACATACATGCCTACAGCTCCGCCGTGTGAGTCGTCCAACGAGACTGTACCTAATTACAGCACTGTGGCTCACTGCGAGGAGGGGCGGGAGGAGGGGTGGGCGAAATCTTGAAGGTAGTAGGGGACCAGGGACTTTGTAGGATGGATGGATGGATGGATCATGGTGGATGGCTGGGGGCGGGGCTGCTGCCCATTAACATCATCAGACCAGCTGTCGGTCATGGCCAGACCATGCTACCGGTTAATTGCTTGGTCATTACGTAGGGGCGCCTTGGTGCGGCTGCTGGGCGTGAACTGCGGGCAATATGCTGGCATGAAAGTGATTTGCATTGAAGACCACGGAGCGACACCGCCATGCGCTTGCTTGCAGCGCAATTCCCAGCCAGCGAGTGGGCTTGGAGGATCTGATAGCTTATGCCATCTCACCACACCGGTCGATGGCGCGGCCAAACAAAACACAGATCAGCCCTTCCAATGCCTCAGTCTGCCCACGTACCTACATGATGTTGGAGTGATCTCCGTCCGAGTTGGGTAGCATGCAGCCCACTTTTTAATCGCCAGGGTTCAGCACTTTCACAAGCAAACAAATGGCCATGCACAGCAGAGACGGGCTCGGGTAGGCTTCCCTGGCAGATAGCAGCAGCTCATATACATCTACCTGCTGTGCATGGCCTGCTCATCCAGGCCGAATGCACCATTACCGCTGCTCTGCTGCAAGCGATGGCACCCATCTACATATGTAGGCATTCAGATTCAGGTGCAGTCGGCCCAGACGCCAGCGACACGCGAGACTGGATTGCATCTGGGATGGTGCGGGACAACATGACATCCCCTGCTTAATGACGCTATTCGCGGATGGTGGGAAATTTTGAAATCCCCATTGCTGGCTTCCCTCTTCTCTCCCTTTCTCGCTCTGTCATATTCTCCCTTCACGCCAACGATCCGTTCCCCGCAATGCGTACCTGCTTCTTGAACAGCTACGTAGGCGCACATAATATCCATTAACATTACTGGCAGCCCTCTTCTTCCATTGACGCCTCGCCCAGATGAGAAGAACGCTAGAACCGCTTAAGTGCCGGGAATAAGGTGCCACAGGCATTCAAGCGATATGCGAGTGTCCAAAGTCAAGAGGGGACGTCGCATCTCAAGAACTACCTACCTATCTGTGGATAGGAAAGAGAGACACCCGCACAAATACGACCTGTAAATCTCGCCAGCCCAGCCTGCCAGCCCATCGACGTATGATTGCATGAACGGCAGCAGAGCCGCCGTGTTCTCAAATAGATCAGCCTACCTAACACACCACAGATCGTCTACCCTGGGTCTCTGACGAACTGCGGTAACGCCCAACAAGCAAACCACGTTTTTTCGGACCCGGAAGCCGTAGGTACATTCGACTCGCAAAACTGGGCAGCGATGCGCCAACTCACATGTACCTCTCTGTTTCAACATGACATGACCCTTGCCCAAGCTTGATGCGCCGAGAAAACACTAACCTGCTTAGCCGTCCCATCGTCTCCATCAGTCGGTACCCATCGGGAACTAAAATGGCTCTGCATCAATTCGATTCGCTCTTGAGTCTCAGCATAGTCGCTCACCGCTTATTGAACTCCAAGCACACAGCCTACCTACCAACCTAAGCGGGCCAGCTCAGCAAACCAGGCGACTCGCAGAGAAGCCATGGGAAGTTATTGGAAGGGCTTCCAGAGGGGAAAAAAAGGGTCCATGGAGTGTCCTTGTCCAATGCGATACCTCTCCCGACCGAGGGCAAAAGGGATGGATCATGGCATTGTTGAGAAATTTTATGATACGCATCAACGACGCATCACATTGTCAGACCGGGAGCGGTCAGACCCGACGTGGGCTGTGTTGCCTGTCTTATTCCACTAAGGGGGGCAAAGTCTGCAATGGCTTGCAATAATAGCCTGTCAAGCGAGAGGTGAGTTGCCAGGTGGATTGCCGGCCAGTTCCCAGAACTCGAAGCAGCCCTACCAAAGTGGATGTCTGGTCTACCTATCCATCCCATGCTAGTGTTGATGCTTCCGTCTCTAATAAGATCGATTTACTCGATCGTGCCAGGCTTTGTCTAGGTAGGGTGTAGCTACGGGATCGATACACATGTAAGATTGGGTCTTGGGTCTTGGTTGCAAGGCAAAGCAGACCTGCGTAAGCTCTACACCATGCTTGCCCGCAAGAATGTTACACAGCTCGGACGCGCAACACCCATGCAGGGTGCTGGGTGATGTCCAACTGGCGTCAAATCGGGTCTCGTGCTCAACTGTAAGTCGGGAGGACATGGCTTTCCCGTGCCGCCACCCTCTCCTCATGTGCGCATAACATATCCTCAGGCTAGTTGGGAGGAATGGTCAAGGTCTGACCATGGTCAGAATTAGAAAGCGCTAGATTCTGTCAGCAGCGTCACAGAGTGAGCAAATGTCCTGCAGAGGGAGTGGTGGCCGCCTCGGTGATTTTCTTCCCAAGGGAGGGGATGGCGTCGGGGAAGCTAATTTTCCCGTGCTGTTGGTGCACGTCGCAGCCGAGAGATGGCTGGACTGGCTCGAAAATTAGCTGTCCTTTGGCATTTGGTTGGTTGGTTGGCTAGAAGTCCCGGCTGTTACCTGCCAGGAGCGGTAAGCATAGGGAGGGTGATGGCAGTTGCATATTCCCCGTGCATGGAGACGATGCTTGGCATCCATTGACAGCCACAAGCCAGACTCTGGCGATGACATGTCTGGAGGCATTGTTGGTCTGAATGTGTCCTCTCTTGCACCACGCCAGCAGCATCAGGAGGCCGTGGAATTAGAATAGCCAACTGCCCTGGATATCTAGGTTGGCACTACGGAGCAACAGACGCAACCGTCCCAGCCACACATGTCAATCTCTCCTCCCTCCAGCCACATCTGCCCATTGCTCCCACACGCGACAGCCTCGAGGCCTCGAATGTCCCCTCCCAACAAACCCCCCACCCCTTGTTCCACGATTACACAGAGGCGTCTTTTTTCCTCCCCTCCCACTTCTGCCACCACCTCGGCGGCTCCGGCCATTCAACATCCCATGAATTGACGTCTCAGCCTCCCAACGTCCATTCTCAACGCCTGCCAGATTTCCCGTAACCCTCAGATCCTCACGTCGTCTCAGCAGAGCCCAGGCGTGGAGTGTAGCGCTACCAAGCAGTCGTTTTCATTGGGACGGATAGCTTACTCAATCGCACCATCTTGCCTCAGTCCTTCAATGCAGAGCCTTGTGTCAAGCTTGCCTTGATCGCGTCGCATCACCACTCTCGTTGATCTTTCAACATAGCATCTCACCCACGGCGCACACCCTCCGTTAATAACCTGGCCTGGCGACTCATTTTCTGTATTTCACTTGGTTTCGGCCACTCATCCAACAGCGCCCAACATCCTTATCAGTGAACCCAGGTTTTCCCTCCCACCCTCTGCCTCTTCTGCTCCAGCATGAGGGCAGATAGATAGCCGTCGCCATGAGGGTCCAACGCCAGATGTCAATTACCGTCCCTGTCCCCCAGAACCTCCCTGCCTCCGCCGCCCTCGCATACATCCAAACCGCCGACCCCATCATCCGTAATCTCGGCACGCTCTCGCGCTTCGAGCCAACGGCCGTGACCGAGGACGCGGCCAACGACCCCTTCTTCGAGCTGCAGCCCCCTAGCCCCGTCGCCGGCTACCAGATCTTCGAGGTCATCACCCTCGCCCCCGGACTGACCAAGGAGGTCACCTACCCGGCCTTCTTCCAGCGCATCAGCGAGGGCATCCGCGTCCGCGCCAGCGGCGCCGCCGGCATCACCGGCTGGTGCGAGTTCACCATCCGCCAGAGGCAGGTGGCCGACTCCCCGGGAAGCTCCATTAGCACCCCTAGCACCGCCACTCCCGTCGCGGACCTGGGCCCGGAGGAGTTTGAGCTCTTCGAGACCCTCGTCGTGGAGGCAAACTCGCTGCTCATGCCCTTTGTCGTCATGGTCATAGAGCAGGCGCATCGCGGCCTGTGTGAGAAGGTTTTGAAAGAAGCTCTCGATAGCTTTTCACAGTCCCCAGGGTGGGGATAGAAGAGGAGTCTTCGCGGGGGGGTTTAACCACAGATGAAACTCTGTTCCTCCCCCTCTTGCAATGCATTATCATTTTTGGATATTTCCATCGTTTTTACTTGACCCCACGATTTTTATTTCTACTTAGCTCGCATACCCCCTCCCAAAATCTTTGGGCTATAGGATCGGAGTCATTAAACTGAATTGTATAGTAGCTGGCGTTTGGGTTAGCGCTTCCTCATCATGGAGCTGAATTGAATTTGGGGGTGCAGTTCACTCTTCGGCATAGATCCGAAAGAAAACGACATCGTTGTCTAAAGTATACCCCCAGGGCAGATCACCACGTTTTGCTTTCGACTCCCACAAGCCTCATTTCAATCAGGCCTACCAAGTCGTATTGGTGGTCAGCAGAGATAGATCTCCGAGTACAAGTCATATTCCCAACTTGACCGTATGATAAGCCAAAGCAGACCTGCCATTTTCCCCTGCTCACGTACGACATCGCAGGTAGTATTGCATGCAAATGTATGGGCTGCTCAACGACGAAAATGCCCTTCGTTAGGGTTTGGAAAGTTTGGTTGTCTCGTTTGAACAGATGGTGGCACCATATGGATTCATATATCAGTCAAGCTTGCTACATTTCTTTGGAATAAAATTTATCGACCAAAAACACAATTGGTATCAAAGTGTAGCCCGTCTATCCCAAAAGTCCGTCCTAGACATCGCCCCAGAAGAATAAACAAGTTGGAATGAAAAGCAAATAGAATAAAGCTGCGTTGAGAAGGAAACCAAAGATATTCGCTGGGAGAGCCCATCCAAAAAAAGAAGAAAGTTGGAAAACTCTCCCTTCCTGAGAGAAAGAAGGAACACTAATAAGTAACAATAAACATGAAATATGTCGTTTCGCTTTCCCACCCAACCGAGGGTTTTCATCAGTCATAACTCGGAAAAAACCATAACCAAGATGATGAACAAGCATCACTCGGCTTCGATACGATTACTGTTGCCAGAGGAGGAGAATGGCGTTGGGGATCATGACGGCGATCAGCGGCCACCTATGTCGCTGGAATAGTTCAATTCTCCAAAGTTTTGGCCCATTCCCCCATCGCCATATCCTGTGCCGGGACCACTGACGTATCCCCCATCCTCATTGTCATCGAAATCGCTGGCATCAAATGATGACCTGCCACTCAGGTCCTCATCCATTCCCCCCATTTCAGGCCCAGGCCAGCTGAGTCCAGCAAGAGCTGGGTACTGTGCCAACAACGCGGCAGGGAGTGTAAGATTGCCACGAGCATCTATTGGGTAACCAGTATTCGGGTCCAGGCCCATTCCCTGCGAGGCCAGGCTGGCATTCTGTTGCATCTGCTGTTCCTGCCACTGGCGCTGGCGCTCCAGCATTTCCTCGTCCAAGAGGGGTTTGATGCATATTCGGCCAGCTTCGGACCTAAAGTGACGGCCGAGAGCGTCGGCACGGGCAAAGCGTCGACCACAGCCCCACTGCCCACCTGCTTTGAGTTCGCCCTTGCAGACAAACTTCTTCTCTCCCGAATGCAAGCTTTCATGACGTTTACGGTCATGCTGTCGAGCAAATGCTTTGCCACAAACGGTGCAGACAAACGGTCGCTCGTCTGTATGTGTTCGCAGGTGGGAACGCAAATTGTAGGCTCTGGTGAAACGCTTAGGGCACAATGTACACTGAAAGGTTGCAGGGTGCTTTTGGGCGCGCTTGGCTGAGCCGGTATCTTGACTGCTCTGATAGTCCGGGTCGGCAAGGCGAAGAGCGATGACGTTGTTAGGGACTGCCGAAGTAGACTGTCTACGTCTCGACGGTGAAGCTCCGGTTCTGTCAAGCGGGGACAAGGATCGAGAGGCGTCGCCACGGTTGGCCAAGTCCGAACCAAGAGAAGGCGATGGACTTTGTCCAAGATTGGGTCTTCCTAGATGGGGTCCGGAAGTGCTGTATGGGTCTGTAACGGCGCGCTGACGATTTCTTTGGCGGCCTGTAAGGTGGGAGAAGTAACACGGTCAGTTCAAGAAGCTCTAGCGCGCTGGTTTGAGAATTAAAATAAAGGGATCGCTTACCTCGTTCTGGAGGGGTCAAAGAATCTTGATCAATTTGCTGCTTTGATGGGCCGTAGCCGCCCAATTTAGAATTGTTTGGTGCAAAATCGATATTGATGGCCGGAGGCGCCATTTGGGACATATCCGATCCATTATGCTGGAGAGTTGGGAAGGCTTCATTAACTTGGACACTTGGGAAAGCCGAAGTATCCCCATATGCCATGCTGGGCGCAAGACCGTAGGGAGACTGCTGCATGGTATCGGGCATCTGCTGGGGAGAAATACGAGGGCTCACCGCAGGGCTGTGGGACGGACTACGTCCTTGGTGTCCTGGGCTGCCAATTGAGTGGTCTGAAAGACTGAAGTTCCCGATTGTCAGAACCTCTTGGTAAAGGCTGGCATCTGAAGGGCGCTGCAAGGGAGAGTGCCCAATTGGATCTTGGTCGAAATTGTCGGAGCTCACTAGATTTGGCGAGGGTGATACTGAGGAGACATCCGAGTGGGCAGAGGGGCTGCGGCGATGGCCTTGGAATTGAGGCTGCGTCCAGTCATCCAGCTGGCCGGGGAGCAATGCCGCCTCAGGACCAAGAGAAACATTGCGTGAATGATGTCCAGCAGGTGGTGATGAGAAATGGTGCTGGTTGAATGAGGGCGAGTGCTGCGCTGAACTAGGCTGGTGAGAGTCGGGCTGTAGCAAGTGGGGGGGAGTCGGCGAGTTGTGCTGGGATTGCGGGGATGCCATATTATTCATATCGTTGGGACCGAGCGTGGATGTCTCGAAGAGAGGTTGATTGTAATGATCACCCGAGCTGCTAGCGGGGGGGAAGAGCGAGAAGTCGTCGTTGAGATTAGGCGAGAGGTAATCAGACTGCGACTGTGAGGTGAAGGACAGCCCCGAGTTGGGCACAGAGGCGGGCATCTGCTGATTATAGGTCGCGCTCGGGTCAAAGAGAGCTGTGTCAGTCAGACTCTGTTGTGCAAACGCGGTCTGTTGCTGTTGCTGCTGCTGTGGGCTGAGGAAGCTGGCGGCGGGGTTGGTGTTATTATGGTGGTTCGTGCTGAAGGCATTAAGGTTGGTGGACTGCTCCAGGGTGAGGCCGAGTCCAGACGATGAGTCGTTGGTGGGCTGCGGGTATGAACCCGGGGGCGGGGATATTTGAGGATGGTGATGACCGGCCGAAGGCGACCGGTCGCGTTGGATTTGCTGGTCCATTGGAGCAGTGGTCTCCAACTCAAGGGACGGACACGGCACGAGTGGAGAGTGAGGCAGAATTGCAAGTCAGCCTTCCAACACCTGTGGCGATGCCAGCGCAAGGAGGGGCTGTGCTCCCGGGCGACGAGCGAAACAGAAGACGGCAAATCCGATGCGGCTGCGCGGTTGACGTAAATGTCGTGGACGGGACGCGCAATGGAGGAGGGAGTGTTTATGTACGGCTGATGCAGGCAGAGGGCGGATGGAGGTTGGGCCAGCTCGTCTGACGGGTGGTGAATGCCACTGGTGTCGGCTTGTGGGGAGAAGGTACAGGTAAATGAAATTACCTTTGGGGAAGATGGACTCAAACTCAAGAGGGGTTGGAAGGCGCTTTGGGCCTTGTGGCTACCCAGGCCGGGACGGTCTCACCTGGTCCCCATACAAGCCCTCAGCAGGAGTGTACCCGGTGGATCAGGCATGACGGTAGGGCGGTCAGGTACCACTCACAACCCGGCACGTACTGGGACTCGCAAGGCCAGCCAGGGTTGCCATCTGGCAGGTACCGAGCCAATGCGGCGTTTCATGGGCGTCCAAGTGCCTGCAGTGGGCAAGTTAGTGAGGCTGTGCAGGCGACCGATTACGCGCCCAGGCCAGCCAGCTGTACATTCCACGGGAGAGATTCCCTGGGCGCGGCAGGCATGACGACGACGACCCGATGACGAGGGAGACATTCGAGGCACTGGTCTCCTGCCGTGGCGCCCTCTCCATTGGCGTGATGAGAGAGCCGGCCGGAATCGTTTTATTAATAGCAACGTGTAGGACTTTTCTCGTCGCCCACATGCAGACGACTGGGTCAGCGAGAAACAAGCTCTTACCCGCCTGGCGCAGCGACCTGTACCTTGTTTCCAGTGGGCTTAACAGCATGCGACTATCATTTCCAGAAAACCAAAGTGCACATCCCGTCACGCTTACCGCCCAGCCATTGCTTCGTTAGATAGGGCGAACGAGCCACACTTGTCGTCTTCTGAACGCGACGACTTTTCACTTTCGCTGCCCTGAGCTGAGCGAGTCCTGTTGACGTGCGGCCTCCCGTACACAGCAACAACACCCCTGTCCGCCTGTTCCATTATGATAGTGCACATTGTCGTCCTAGCATGTATCATCGTCTCAACGGTGCCTGGGCTTGCATGAAGAACAGCCCGGCTGCACGCCCATCCTTTCACATCACCCATCCTTACTCATGAAGCCCGTCACAACATGAGACGAGCGACGTGGCACAGACACCAGTGGCTTCATTGCTCCAATCCACGACCACTCCGACGACAACAAGACAGAGACAGCTCCAGAACCTTGGCACTGAAGTATCCATGTGTAACCAGGCCTTGCTTCATATCCTAGCTGCCAAGCCCAGCCTAGGGAGCGGGCAGGCGTGCCGAGCATATAATTTTGCTGACATGTCTTACACAGCCACAAGTTCATGAGCGGCTTCGGACCTACCCAAAGTGTGCCACAGAGTTTGGGGTCCAAAAACCCTGGCTCGAGGTCGTTTTTACTGCTTACTCTCGATCCGACGCCTCTAGTCTTCCCGCTTTCCTTCCAATAGACTGCGGTTGTTCCACAGCGCGCGGCCAAGTTGCATTGTGTAGCTACCTATCTCGGTCTGGATGGGCGCAACTCCACTGTCCCAAAAATACACTGCGTGACATTCACTCACTTTAATGCGGACTCTGTCAGAAGTGATTGGTTTTTACCTGATAATCTCATTTTAGATTCAGGTCAGACATGGGCACATGATATGCTAGAAAGCCGCAAGGCAGACTGCGTACAAGCAGGGGCAAAAAATGAGAAGGTGTATTGTGATTCTATCATGAGCCGAGAGTTCCTTGGACGTCCTTTTCGTCGTCTTGCATATCCTCAAACGCCTAGCGCCCTGATGCCTACTCTAACAATTCCAACAATGACGACATCGTCTAATTTTGTGTATATTCATACAGAAATGCTTTACCGAAGCATGGGAAACGAAAGGAAAAAGTCCAGATAAAGGATCGTGTTGAACAGAGGCGAATCTCAAATCACCTCGGCACGCTCGTAGCCAGCAGGCTTAAGCGCCGGCTTGGGAACTTCGCGATCCTTGAAAGTGCTGACAAATGGATTCGGGTCTTCTTGCTGGTTGAGATTGCTGAGTGTGTGGTTGACGCCGCGGTGGCAAGCCTCATCGGCACGAATGTAGAGGATAAGGTCCTTCATCGTTCTGCTGCCCTCAGGCATGTTCCAATACTGGATGACTTGTCAGTGGTTATGCATCTCGGGGAGGAGGCTCTTGACTAACCTGGATGGCAAGCTCAGGAATTTTAAAGTTGGGGTCGGACCATCGAGTGAGGAGACCCTGTTCAATCTCGTAAATTGATCGCGTGTAAGTGTGGACTGCTTCTTCTTCGAGATATCCCACAAAGCGGTGTACAATTTTTGGCGAGATGAGGTACGAGACAAAGATCGCGTTGAAGAACACGCCTTGAGCTGCAATGAGCATCAGCTTCATAAACCATCCCGGCTCGCACATCTTCATGAATGTCAACAGATGCATTCTCTCGTTGTAACTCTCTTCCAGGAGTGTCTCGATCCATCCATTGTCTCGCTTCATTCGGCGGAGGCTGCCTAGATGGCGGAGCATGCCAGCAACCATGCCCGGCACACCAGCAATGCTCTCAAGGAACACGAACCGAATCAGCTAGCACCCTGTTAGCCTGGCCCTATTGTCGAATTCGTACAAACATATTCATGGGTGGGATGTGACAAATGTTGACTTACCCATTGTGCTTCTGTAAGTGGCTTCTCGGCCACAACAGCTGTAGTCGGTTTGCTCTTATCGCTGTGCTGGTCCCGCTCCATGCCCGTTGCTTTGTCCATACAATACCGGGCAATTCGGACAATCTTCCATGCGACCCAGTCCCCAACAGTCCGAGGCGGTCGGTGATCAGGGACTACGGCCAACATCTCCTCGGGCGTAAACCCATGATGAGGCCATGCTGCCGGCGTAGTTTTGATATGTGGTGTATCTTTTGCAGGGAAAAAGTCTCGCAGTTGATGAGCAGGTGTTGTCGAGAAGAAACGAGGTGCTGGGTGGTGTAAAACAGCGCCACAAACGGGCACTTTAAGGGAGAGACGGCTGTGTACACAGGGTCGAGCTTGGCGTAGTACACCGGCAGCGGCGATTCGGATCGCCTGACTTGAAGCCGGGACTGAAGTGTGGATGGGAGTTGATATCATGGGCGGCAGAGGGAATAGATTTGTTTAATGGGTTATCTGAGTAAAGCTCAGTTCAGTTGTGTTGGCTTAGGTGAGTAGAAACCTGAGGTTCACGAGATACTTATTGCCCGAGGATGCAGGCAGCGTATTCCTCGTTTTATAGAAACCTATTACTACTGAACATTCCGCTCGTCCCCCCTACCTAACCCAAGCCATGATGTAAGTTTTTCTGACAGCCACAGACGGCCGAGAGCGAAGGCCGAACGCTACACGAACAAACAATGAGGCTCGTGGGAACTCCTGGCGGGCTGACTACTTACACGAAAATGGATCGGAGACAAAGATGAATTTCCTCTGGCACATGCTCTCAAATACAGTGGAAGTACTAGCGACACTCAAATTAGAGCAAACCAGCTCATCGGGATCTGTCGGAGCCTTTGTGAGTCAGATACCTGTCAGTGTCTAATATCTAGGTTAGGTGGGTCAAGTGCGATCCCAGCTTATTGACATCGAGTAGGCTATTTGGCCATTTGGAGTTAGTGATAACATCGCCAGGACGATCTGGATACCCGGTGGCCTTGCAAGAGGGAAAATGAGAAGCTGAACCTGTATGGAGTGTATCCGATACGAGCCGCCACAAAGCTGGAAAATAACTTATTTGCTGATTACCTACAGCGAATGTCTCTGGATCTTTGGTATGTGACAGTTATCATGAAAAGCATCATAATTCATAATATCTATTATATAAGGTAGTTGTGACGATTTAGTACCTATTATCGGCCGAGTAGTGCATCTTCATTATCATTTACAGAAATGCTTGTCATAGGTAGCATCGAATACATTAGATGCATTAGTGGATAGTACTGATGTGGCTGCATAATTACGATGCCAACTTTATGATTTACCAATACAAAAACGACTGCAGCTGTCTACTAACCAACCTTGCCAACCCACCCGAGGCAGATTCCGACACGCGCTGATTACAAGTTTTTTTTTTTTGCGGCGGCTTGCGGCGGTTGGGCCGCATCTGCCATGTGACACAAAAATTTGGAGGCAGACAGAACACAGACCTACTAAGGCTCCGTTCTCCCCACCCAACCCGGGAGAAAGAGGAAGCAGACCAAAGCATTGACTTGGTGGAGGGTCGTTAAATTATTTCCATTGAACACATACATGTCAAGAAATAGCCAATAATCCAATACATACTTGGTTGAAGGCCGGAGCCTGGCCGTGCCAACACATCCTCACATCCAAGGCTGTGCTTTACTGCACGGTCCCTGTCAAAGTCCCACTGAGGATTTCCAGTTTCAGACCAGCCTGGGCAGCAGTGACGCAAACCACTGGAATTAATTAATAGATACCAGGCCCATAGCGGGATTCGCCTGGCGCCTGAACCTTGACCCCTCCATCCCGCGTGTCCCTCCCCCTCCATCATTCCCACTCCCGTCCCCCCTTCAAGCGAGATATTCTGCCCTTATCCCACAGAATTTTAGCCTCCCCGAAAAAAAAAGACGCGGTTTGAAGTTCCCCTTTCAACTCCTCCCACCACACTGCCATCAACCCAGCTCGAACGCCAGCTGCTTCTTCCTATCCCCCCAATCTACGCGATAAGAACCCATTCGTCGACTTGACACCATGCCTTCAAAAGAGTGGGGTAAGTGTATCTGTCTCCCTGATACATCACTTCACGCATCCTGCCCGGGTCGAGATATCGGGCCTCTTCTCATAGCAAATGTGCCAAACATCCTCGAGACGTCGCTAACCGATAGATATCTACAACAACAGACGAAGAGGAGAGCGGTTCCAGCGCCCCCTCATCTCCCAAGGTTTCTGCTGCTGCTGCTGCCGCCCGCCGCAAGTTCGACGACGAAGAGGATGATAGCGATGTGAGATTCCCCGACCTTGCCAGATATCTCCAGCTTATGCTTTCTGGAACTGCCGAGACTAACAACACCCTCCCGATCCCCAGGTGCTCGATTCTTGGGATGCCGCAGAGGACTCCGAAGTAGAGCGAGAGAAGGAACGCAAGGCCAAGGAGGCCAAGGAGAAGGCTGCTGCCGAAGCTGCTGCCAGCAAGAAGTCCAAGGCCCAGCGCATCAAGGAGCACCAGGATGCCCGTGCCAAGGCTCTCGCCGAAGATTCTGACGAAGAGGAGGAGGAGACCGAGGCTGAGCGCCGTGAACGTCTTCGCCGCACCGAGAAGGAGGCAGACATGAAGCACGCCGAAGCCCTGTTCGGTGCTGAGGATGACTTTGGCGACATTGGCGTGAGCAGCTCTCGCAAGGGCCAGACCGTTGGAACCGCCGTCGCCATCAGCAACGACGACCCCAGCAAGACTGTCAACATTGCCAACCTTCCCCTCTTCAACCCCACCACCAAGGCCCAGTTTGAGAATCTCCGCACGACCCTGGTGCCAATCCTCACCGCCAACGGCAAGAAGGCACACTACTCCCTCTTCCTGCAGGAGTTTGCCAAGCAGCTTGCTGCTGAGCTCCCCAGCGACCAGATCAAGATCGTTGCCAGCAAGCTCACAGCCCTGAGCAGTGAGAAGATGAAGGCCGAGAAGGCCGCCCAAAAGGGTGGCAAGAAGACCAAGGCCGCCAAGACGAAGACATCACTGGTTGCCAGCCGCGCTAATACCGCTGACACGAACGCCTATGATAACGATGATTTTGGAGAGTATGTGACCCCTGCCGATCCTTGTATTCCAAACTTCCAACTAACGTCCCGCAGTGATGATTTTATGTGAAAGTAGCAAAACAGGTTTTGGCACAGCCGCCGTATGACTATGCTACTATCGTTCTGTCTATGCGACACGCCCAGGGCGCATTTACATCCATCGTGAGAAGATGTCGGCAAGCTCTTTTCCGCGCCCTATCAA